CAACTGACCCCTGCAGACAGACCCGGGCTGAGAGGGATACAACTGACCCCTGCAGACAGACCCGGGCTGAGAGGGATACAACTGACCCCTGCAGACAGACCCGGGCTGAGAGGGATACAACTGACAACATCCCAGTGTTAAAAAAAAATAAATGTCCTTTCCACTCGGGAATCGAACTCGGGTCTCCTGCGCGCGACAGCGAAGCGTCTAACGGCTACACTGGTGAAAATGGTGAAATGGTATGGGTTTAACGCCCTATCAACACTATTAGGTTATTTAAGAGGCGGGGTCGACACTGCACGCCAGTGAAGAAAGGAAGGGAAGGAAAGAAAGAAAACTCCGAAGATGTGAAGAAGGAAAGAAAGAAGAAAAAAAAGAAAACCCCGAAGACTTGAAAAGGGAAGGAAAGAAAGAAAGAAAACACCAAAGACGTGAAGAAGGAAAGAAGAAATAAAACACCATAGGCGTGTAGAAGAAAGAACGAAAATCCCTGAAGACACAGAAGGAAAGAAGAAAGAAAACTCCGAAGACGTGAAGAAGGAAAGAAAGAAAAAAAAAACGTCGAAGACGTGAAGAAGGAAAGAAAGAAAACACCGAAGACATAGAAGGAAAGGGAAGGAAAGAAGAAAAGGAAGGCCCGAAGACGTGCAGAAGGAAAGAGTTGAGAGAGAAAAGGTGACCTTGTACAGTGGTGCAGCAGTGCGGAGGTGCCGTTGTCATGGCAACCAAACAAGACCAATCTCCCCCGATGACGCAGTCAATTACTGCGCTCTTTGTCATGCAGTGGTCCAGAAACTTGTGTTGTCGTCATACAGATACGAGAGACTGGGCTCTCTTAGTTTTTGTTGTACCGTAGTTGTTGTTGTTGCTGTTGTTGTTATTGTTTTGTGTGTGTGTGTGTGTGTGTGTGTGTGTGTGTGTGTGTGTGTGTGTGTGTGTGTGTGTGTGTGTGTGTTTGGAGCCCCGAAGAGCGTTGTTGTTGTTGTTGTTGTTGTCGTAGTTGTTGGGTTGTTGTTTTTTCGCCCCCCTAAAATAGCTCAATTGTGTGGAGGGGGACGGGAAAACATCTACTTTATCTACTTTATCTACTTTATCTACTTTATAATTTTTTTAAGAAAGGAGGTGTGAGTTCGATTCCAGAGTGGGGAATATTTTTTCTTTCGAGTACATGTATCTCTGCTTATAGCTCACATTGAATTTTTTAGAATATATCTTTTTAAATTCTAAAAAAAAATCACCCCAAGACCAATCTCCATCGATCTGAAGTGCAGCAGTCTTTGTCATGTACATTAGTCAACGTCTACTTAATTACTAAATCTGGATGGTGTCGGTGGTGACGTAACAACTCCTACATTAAGCAAACACAAAAACAAGAACAAAGCAACAAAAAATAAATAAATAAATGAATAAAAACAAACAGAACGAAACAATACGGAACAAACAAAATCAATGTCCGCGGACTGCAGCAGTCTTTGTGATATTGTGTAGACCGTACATAATAAGTGTTCCCCACAGACTTGTGGTGACGTCACCACACACTGAGACATTGTCGTGGGCTGTGTCCCAAGGGGGAATCCCCACTTCCCCCCTGCTCTCTTCTTCTTTTTGTACAGAGTCAAAGACACATAAGGGTCGAGATTGTCTCTAGCTGTTTGTTTTGTTTTTGATTGTTTTGATTGCTTTGTTTTAATTGTTTTAAGTGGGTGGTTGGCGAGTGCTCTAGTGTGGTTTGCTCCTTCTTTCCTATCAAACATCTATCGTCCTTATCTCCCCCTCCTTCTTTTTTATGTTTGATACTCTCTTGTAACACCTCTAATCTTCTGGCGCTCATAATTGTTTTTTGTTTGTTTGTTTGTTTCGGTTGTTTTGTTTGCTTTGTTTTGTTTGAGTAAAGAGAAACACATCGGGACAATGATGGCGGTATAGATGAGACAGACAGACAGACAGACAGGCAGACAGACAGACAGACAGACAGACAGACAGACAGACAGGCAGGCAGGCAGGCAGGCAGGCAGGCAGGCA